TACCGACGTCGTACCTCCTTCGGCGTCCGGTTTTGAGTGTGTGCGTACTTTCCCGGGTATGGATCTAGGAGATACGAGTGTGTTCACCGACGAGCTGCTCATGGACGGGTATGATAATACCCCGTACCAAGATTTTTTCCCCGCGTTCATGCCAGAGAATGAAGCTGCGATAGCGGCTGGTGTTATGGATGGAATTGATGGTGGTGTTGGTTTTGACGTGGGTGTGGCTGCTCTTGGTCCTGGTTCGTCCCCGTTTTCCATTGGTTCCACCGATAAGTCCGTCGACATCAACCGCTTCCACCGTTCCCTTGCCCACGCTTGTGAACCCCTTTTGAGAGAAGCTGCCCGGCAGAGGGGCATCATTCTCACGGGAACGGAGGAACCATGCTCGGACTGCATGAAGGCGAAGGGAAAGAGGGCGTCGGTGCCGAAGGGGCCGGGAGCGCGGGCGTCGAAGCCACTCGGGCTTGTTCACCTGGACCTGTGTGGACCGTTGGCGCCTTCCCNAGACCTCGGCCCCATCGAGTGCTTCCCGATCGACAACGGCACCGAGTGGACCCGCGGCGACTTCCGGCGCTTCTGCGAAATGGAATTGATGGTGGTGTTGGTTTTGACGTGGGTGTGGCTGCTCTTGGTCCTGGTTCGTCCCCGTTTTCCATTGGTTCGATCGATAAGTCCGTCGACATCAACCGCTTCCACCGTTCCCTTGCCCACGCTTGTGAACCCCTTTTGAGAAAATCTGCCCGGCAGAGGGGCATCACTCTCACGGGAACGTTGGAACCATGCTCGGACTGCATGAAGGCGAAGGGCAAGAGGGCGTCGGTGCCGAAGGGGCCGGGAGCGCGGGCGTCGAAGCCACTCGGGCGTGTTCACCTGGACCTGTGTGGACCGTTGGCGCCTTCCCTGGGCGGCAACCTCTACCTGTTCGTCGCNGGGCGTGTTCACCTGGACCTGTGTGGACCGTTGGCGCCTTCCCTGGGTGGCAACCCCTACCTGTTCGTCGACAACGACAGCGCCTCGCGGTGGAACAAGGTCTACGGTCTCCGGCGGAAGTCCGACGCGCTGGCGGCTACGAAACGGCTGCTGGCGGACGTGGGGCGG